CTATTTAAGTAAAATAATTAATAAGTAAATAATATAAAATATAGTCTTTAATAATAGATTAGTATTTTACTTATAAAGAACTATTAAATATTAATAAATACTAGGAATTATAATATAATAATAAATAAAATATATAGAAAAATAGGTTTTACTTAGACTAGGTCTATACCTAGTATAATAAGGTACTAGTATATCTTAGTTATAGTTTTTCTTATTATTATAAAGATAAAGATATTAGATAAGTAATAAATTTAACTAAAGTAAATTTAATTAATTAATTAATATATTTTATTTTTTTATTATAAATAAGTTAATAAATTTAATAATAAGAATTTAGAAAAATAGCTTTATTAACTTTAAAGTATTATTAAAGGTTAATAGATTTAAATAATATCTTTTTAACTTTAATTAGATATTAAAGTTAAATACTAATAATAATAATAATTTTAGAAAAATAGATAAAAAAGAATTATTATTTCTAATAAAGAGAGATTTTATTAATTAAAAATAGATTTTTTTATAATTTATAATATTAAAGAAGAAATTATAATCAAATTAATTTATTATATTTTTATAATATAATAAAATTATATTAAGGTTTTTAAATAAGTTATAAAAATAACTAGAGATAAAAGAAAGACTAAGTTATATATTAAATTATTTTCTTATAAAAATAAAAATATTTTATAATATATATTATATTATTAGAATTAGTTAATTATATCTTTTAAAATGATAGTCTTAGTGTTTTGCTGTTTTTCGTTGGGAGCACTCTTTTGAGGTTATGAAAGAGGGGGCGGGGACGGCTAGCACATATGGTTGCTGGGGCCTGGCCAGTCTTTCGGAGACTTGTCACTCCCTGAAATGTGGGCGCGGGGCTCGGCCATCTAGACCCACCGGAAGTTCCTCAACACAAACGATTTCAGTAGTTACGCGCTGTGGCTGCTTCACAGCGGACTAGCATTCTTCCGCTTCCGACAATGGAGGCGGAGTCGTGGCCACGATAGCTTGCGTCAAAGTTCTGCAGCCTTTCGCCGACGGTTGTTATGAGTACTGCGGAACGTTAGGCACGAGCTAGTCATCAAAGTTACAGAGAGGGACGAGAGGAACTCCTGATCGACGTGCAAGAACTAGTGGGTAGAGCCATACTCCACTCCATTAATACTTATTCGCTGCACTAAGTGGGCGCAATTCACACGCTCCTCGGCTCCATATTGGTAAGGGGTGCGTGCTGGCATCATGAAATTTCCGGTTACAATGAACCGAACGGCGTGAGAGAGGAGTCTCTGCACCTTGCTGGTGACTTCCTTTCTCTTGCCAGGCCCTCTAGCACAATGCGATGCCCTGGACGGATATATATAGATCAACAAAAAACTCATCTTAGAGTGGGCACCGCCGTTTCCCCTCTAACTGTGGTTTTATGAGATGCGCCGATGCTGTCGCCGAAGTGCGCCGCTAGACCTGCGAATGCCAGTAATTACTTTGTGTACTTGACTGGCAATTGGCAGTTGATTTTAACTAAGGAGTATTGCGGACGAATACTTGACAGTTTCTTGCGCCCATGACAAGACTACCAAAAGCAACACAGGTTTGCCTTCCAGCTTCAAGTTAACTAGAGGGTACAGTTGTGTATGATCTGTGAACTCGGGTATTGAATGGAAGGGTCGGTGGAAGAGGAAAAGCCTCCTGCCCCTGGCGAATACGTCGCAGTTGGTCTTTGTTTATATGGCCTAGTTCACTGGCATGCATCGACGCGCCGCGTAAATACCATCAGAGGCGCTGCCCACAGCCAAAGCACTGCAGAGCAACCGCCATAGCTTTAGAAGGGATTACTGCCCGAAGAGTTGTAGTTTAGACCCTAATAATACCTGCACTAATCAAGTAGCGAGCACGAAAGCATTGCAATTAATTTAGTTCAGTGAGGTAATCTCCCCAGGCACCACGCACACGCCTCCTGACAAGCATGCGCCCGCCCAACCTGCCAGTTCGTACGCCAAACTCGGCATTTTTTTTAAACACAAGGGCAACACATCCACTAGTTCCAAAAGAAAAAAAAGCCAAACCCCACACGCCCCTGAGCGCAACTCCCCCTTGTGCCTGGCCTAAGTGACCACTGACCACAACCGTATTGAACCGTCGTGCTCTCTTCGTACTCCGGGCCAGCCCCCCCGGTCCCCAGCAAGCTGGACCTCCTCCTTTTCCGTCTCATTTACCTCTGACGATTCCCTCCAGCTTTCTGCATCTTCATCGCGCCGTTCTTTTCGTCCAACTGAGAGTTTCCGCTTTCTACCACACTCCTTTGACCCGGCCTGCTCATATCGCTCGCGCTCTCGTTTTATTCCTTCGTCATCGAACCCTATATTTACTCGATTATCTTACAGAGTTCATCAAGGTGTGTAGGCCGCGACACCTGTTGCGCTGTGATTCTAGCGTGTGGCGTTGGGCGGCACGGTTCACAAGGAATAATGGAGTCATTTATCAGTTGCGTCTCGTTTATATGATCCAAAGCCCACAGTCGACTATGATCTTGACAGTCAGACTGTCTATGGCAGTCTCGCAGCTTAAACATGACGCTGATGCTGACATTTCTTCAGACATTTTCTGATCATCATGAAGACTTTCGCCCAGTTGACCCTCGCGGTCACACTCGCCGCGACTGTCACCGCCTCGTCCCACCACCACGGCCACCGTCACTTGCACGCGAAGAAGGATGCCGCCAAGGTTGACAAGCGCGACGCCGATGTCGTGACCCACGTCGTTGCTGGTCCTACTGAAACCGTCTACCAGCTCGGCGGCAAGGTCGTGAACGCTGATGAGGCTAAGAAGGGTCTTGACAAAGGCGAGTACGTAGTCGTCGGCGAGTCTACCCCGACTTACACTCCTCCGGCCCCGTCCACCAGCAAGGACCTCGGCGCCCAATTCCTCGAGTCCAAGTCTGCCACGATCACGACCACACCGCCTCCTCCCCCTCCGACTACCACATCAACCCCGCCACCTCCTCCGCCAAGCTCCACTGCTCAAGCTCCTGTCGCCAACTCTGCCGCCAGCAGCGATGCCGACGAGAGCAGCAGCAGCTCGGGTGGCGAGGATGTCGATTTTCCCAGCGGCAAAGTCAAATGCACCGAGTTTCCTTCTAAGTATGGCGCAGTCCCTATTCCTTGGATGGGACTTGGTGGGTGGGTAGGTGCTCAGAAGGTCGCCAATTACCCCAATGCGCTGAGCTTCGACAACATCGTTGAGGCCGTTGCTGGCCAGGGCTGCAGTTCGAGTGACATGTGCTCATACGCTTGCAAGCCTGGCTACCAAAAGAGTCAATGGCCCGAAATCCAAGGCGCTACCGGCCAATCCGTTGGCGGTCTTTACTGCAACTCCAATGGCTATCTCGAGCTCACCCGCCCCAGCGTTAAGCAGCTCTGTACTGCTGGCGAGGGCGGTGTCTTCATCAAGAACGATCTCGACGACGAAGTCGCTACATGTCGTACCAACTACCCGGGCAATGAAAATATGAACATACCCACCGTTGCCAAGGCCGGCGAAACTGTTCCGCTCACCAACCCCAGCCAGTCTGGATACTACCAGTGGAAGAATATGAAGACCTCGGCTCAGTACTATATCAATCCCAAGGGCGTTGCTGCCAAAGATGCCTGCATCTGGAAGAGTCCCATCTCTCCCAGCGACCGTGGCAACTGGGCTGCCGTTGTTGCTGGTGTCGGTATGGCTGACGACAATATCACTTACATCTCTCTCTTCTTGAACAAGCCTACCTCTTCTGCCAAGCCCGACTTCAATATGGAGATCATTGGCGGTAACACCAAATGTGGTTACCACAACGGCGAATGGATTGGTGGCACCGACGGTTGTACCGTAAGTCTTTCTTCTGTTTCACCAAGAATGGTGCACAATACTAACTGGGAATATAGACCGGCCTGGATAAGGGCCAGACTGCCACCATCCGCTACTACTAGGCGTCACAGTCTAATCGCGCACCGCCACAATCGCTATTTTTGCTTGGATTTTCATGTGAATATTCTTTTCGGTAGAGGTACCACTAAAGGGCTGAAATTTGCTCGAGGATCTAGGCCCGAGACCAGACGCAATCGAGTTTGGCCCAACTTGTATCTGTTGCTTATGGGCTGGTTGCTGTAGATGATGTAGAGTTCCGGAACACAACAGCGCCACGTTTGGATATACTGCGCTGTGATGACTGGCTATACTCTACTGTGTCACGGGCGGTGTTGTTGATCGGCTCATTCCTTTTCGGGTCCTGATTTGTCCTTGATGATACCTTGAGGCATCTTGCAGTTCATCTCGTGTGAACTGCCCAAGACTCCTGTGAGGTTGGGGTTGGTTTCGAAGTAATAATCCTGTTTTGCTTGGTTACCTAGTTATTCTCGCAATTGATTCTATCTTGGTACGCATTTCCTTGTAATTAGTCTGTTGATGTCAGATGCGTCTGCTGCCTTGCATCGACGCAATCTTGTTTGTTTTGGGTTTCACTAGTGGTGACTGCCATGCAAAAAACAGACTCAGACAACTCATTGATGTGTGTAATGGATGAAACGCCACTGTAGTGCAGAAAAAGCTGCTCTTTTTGACGAAGTTCAGTCTAGTCATGCTGTATCCTCCGAACATGAATCAAATCTTCATTTATTTATTTTTTGGCTTAGTTTCGATTCTGCTGGCTACATTCAAAATTCCATAGGTACGGCTGTCCCCGCCTCTCTCGCTCGCCGCAGCTCGTTGCTTCTTTCTTCTTTCTCTTCCTTGAGGCGTTGCTCAACGTCCTCACGAATGCCGGCCAGGTCGGGTGGAATTGCCTGCATCTGCACACTGGGCGCGGCCTGGACGAAGCGCAGTTGCTCAGTGACATGCTGCAGGATGTCTGCGAGGCGCTTCTGCGAGTTGCGATTGACGCGCGGCTCGCCGAGGATCTGCTCCAGAGTTGGGAAAAGGGTGTCCTGGCGGAACTGGTCGCGCCAAGGCAAGTGCTGCGGCAGCGTCGGATTGATCTTATCGTCGCAGCCGATCGCAATGGATGTCTCATAGGCCCAGGCGCGAGCGACATTGCGCGGCGTGTACCCACCACCACCAAAGAGGATTAAGGGTAGGTTGTATTTTTTGCAAAACTCGACACAGGCGCCGTGACCCTGAACTTGTAGGTTAAAGCGACCTAGGCGGTCACCAGCCAGGGAGTCGGCGCCACACTGTAGGGCAATGGCACCCGGGCGGAATTTTTCGACGATACGGCCGATGATGGAATTGAAGAGCCAATCGTATTGCTCATCGGTAATGCCGTCGTTGAGGGGCACGTTGACGGCATGGTGCGCGCCGGGATTATGCTCGCTCTTAGGCCCATTGTCGTCCAGCGCGCCTGTGCCGGGGAAAAAGTTGTTTGGGTCGTACTTGTGGAAAGAGACAGTCATGACACGGTCGGTCGAGAAGAAGGCCTCCTCAACGCCGTCGCCATGGTGCACGTCAATGTCAATGTAGAGAACACGAGGGTAGTAACGCAAGAGTTGAAGAATAGCGACAACAATGTCGTTGATGTAGCAAAAGCCCGAGGCTTCGGCCTTCTTCGCGTGGTGCAGGCCGCCACCCCAGGCAACCGCAATGTCCGACTGCTTGGAACAGAGCTTGCGCGCGCCGTCGAGCGCGCCGCCGGCCGACATGGAGCAGTAGTCGTAGAGACCGTCGAAGAGGGGGCAGTCGGAGCCGCCGAGGTTGAATTTGAGATCTGGATTTTGGTTTTCAAGATCGCGCGGAACGGGCTCTGGAAGGACTGTACCGAGAAAGTCCAGATAGTCGGTCGAGTGAAACGTAGCTAGCTCCTCATACGTGGCAGCGCGCGAAACGTAGTTGTCCATGGCGAATGACATGCCATAGGAGTAGATAAGGGACTTGGAAAGAGTGAGGCGCCAGGGCTTCATGGGGTGTGTCATGCCGAAGTGGTGCTTCTCCATGTCTGGATTGCAGTGAAACGATACATTGTAACCCTTCGGTCGCGTGATGCCGGATTCTTCCGCCATGCGCTTGCATTTATTGTAGAATCTAGCGTTTTCCATGTCGCTGGCAAGTCCGAGCGACGTATGATGCTCTTCAACAATATCATGATCAATATCTTGCTTATGAGGGAGGTAGTTGGGTTTGGGAACGCGAAATTTGTGTGCATCCATGGCTGCGAGGAGACCAGCAAAGCTCCCGAGAGCCACGATGAGCAGTTTGTATATTCACTGCTGACGATTATGTCTGGCAATGCACTATTGTTACAGCCTTGCGACTGCATGTGCAAGCTGTTGAGCCTTTGTGCTTTGCCAGAGAGGTTGGAGCACCCGGAAGTTAAGGACGAAGTGGTGCGGCGGATAGGTAGGTTCTTGCAAGTCTCTGCTGCCCGAGAATCAATCGATTCGTGCGCCAAATTCGGGTGTATTGAGTTGACACGGTGTTGACGCGAGTTCTAATCAAGTTTGCGAAGCCAGTCCAGGCAATGAAGGCTACTGAAGTCCCGACGCCCCTGCCTGGGTCTCGTCTGGTAGCAGATTCAGCGACTATGCCCGATTCGAATATACCCATCTAAAAGCCCCACTCACGCCATAACAGGTTCGCTTGCTGTAGGAGAGGAAAGAGAAAATAATAAGGAATAAGAAAATATAAATTAAAAATTAAATCTATAACAATACTAAAATAATAAATTAGATTTTATATAATTACTTATTAATTAAACTATTTTATTTAATATATTAATTAAATTACCCTAGTTAAGCCTATAGTTTATCTAGAACCTCTATCTTTTATAATAATAAGAAAAACTATAACTAAGTAAGCTATACTAGTACCTTATTATACTATATATATATCTAATCTAGGTAAAAACCTACCCTCTTTTATATTAACTATCTATTATAATATTATAATTCCTATATTTATAAAAAAATAATAATTTTCTAGAAATAAAATACTTATTTATTATTAAAGACTATATTTTATATTATTTATTTATAAATTATTTTATATAAATAAATTAAAATTATATATTATTTATATTTATTTTTAAATAATTAATAAACCTTTTTATTATTATTATTATTATTATTATTTTATTATTATAATCTTTAATATTTAAATAATTTTAACTTATATTATATTATAAAATATTAAAATAATATAATAGTTAATATATATTTTTTAACTTTTTATATATAAATAGAGTTATAATTACTTTATCTTATATTTTTTATAGATTAGTTTTATTATCTAACTTTTAAAAAATTAAAATAAAGTATCTTTAAGAAAATTTATATCTATAATTTATATAATAGTTTATATAAAATTCTCTTAAAGTATCTTTAAAATTACTTTACCTTAGTACCTATATAGTACTATATTAATTAGATTTAACTAGTCTAGTATACCTTATTTAATAACCTAGATAAAA